CTTCAATTCAATTGAAAGGGACATATATCGTGTTTTATATAGTTTGAGATAATGTTATTATCTTTAAACCCGTAATGATAACTTACTTCATAATAGTGGCCCACTAAGTGTTTCATTTTATGTAGTAGAATGAATGAGACGTAAAAAACACAGAATGCAATTGGTTTACTTTTTTCTACGGAGGATATAATCCATTACATTAAACCAATTGACTTTTGCAACTCCATGGAATTGCCAAGGCCAACTCACAAGTCACAACCATAGAAGTACTTGTGGCACCAATAAACGTCACGTGTTATAGTGGCAAAAGAATTTCGATCACCGATAGTACGACAAGTATTTTTCAATTACTTTATCCGATTCGAATTAATCGACATAATTATGTTTCACAATACATCAATAGACCTTTGAGTATAAAAATTGGTTTTTTTAAAAGACAAATGTGTATCTATATTAAAAAATTATACATATAAAATAGCTGATAGGTTGAAAGTCCACTAAATCTAACAAAAACTTATCGTTTTTTTTTCCTTATAAATTGATCATGGTTATTTCTAATTTGTGATCAAAGTTTGTAAATATTGGTTTTTATAGAAGCATTAGTTACAATCTTAAAGACCTTAGTTAATTTGGGATGGAGAATTGGAGGGAGTACTTGTAAGGTTTAATTTTGATGTAAAATATATTACAAATAACACCAAATACGGATTTATACACATAATAATCATGAACCTCTTTTTTTTTTTTTTTTTTTTTCATGGGATAGCATAGATTAATTAGCTAATCGATAGCGGTCTTCGATTATTTTTCAAGTTTTATTAAAAAATGGAGTGTAACAATTAAATGAAATAAAGAGTGACATCTAAAGAATAACATTAATCACCAAGTACATTTAATTTGTTTGTGATAGGTAACCCGTCTCAAATGCGGAGGATTCATAGTGGCCCTTCGAGCAAACCACACCATCAGCGACGGAACAGGCATTATGCACCTAATGAACACCGTAGGCGAGATGGGAAGAGGCTTTGCCACCCCCTCCATCCTCCCAATTTGGGATCGTGAACGCTTATTTGCTAGAGAATCCCCAAAAATCAGCTTCCCTCACCCTGAGTACGACCAACATGAAACTAACCACCACTCCAATAATGGTCAACCCAACTTGGTTCAACAATCCTTCCTCTTTGGACCTACTGAGCTTGCTGCCCTACGCCGCCATGTACCACCACATACTAAACAATTCTCCACCTTCGATATCCTTAGTGCCCATAGCACTTGGACTTGACCCTAAGGAAGAGGTACGTTTACTCTTTGCTGTTAATGCAAGGAACAAGTTTGATCCCCCACTTGAAAAAGGTTACTACGGAAATGCATGTGCATTTCCAGCAGTCTGTGCTAATGCAGGGGATATATGCAACAACAAAGTTGGCTATATTTTGGAGTTAATAAGTAACACAAAAAATAAAGTAAATGAGGAATATATGAGGTCTATTATGGACCTTATGGTAACAAAAAATAGGCCACATTTCACGGTGCATCAAACATACGTGGTGTCCGACCTTAGGCATCTCGGGTTTGCTGATGTGGATTTCGGGTGGGAAAAACCCGTTTACGGAGGGCCGGCTAGTAATGGGTCAGTACCGGATGCTAGCTTCTTTATATCTTTCAAGAACAAGAAAGGAGAGACTATGGTTATGGTGCCCATTTCCTTGCCTCCCACGTCAATGGATGTTTTTGTTAAGGAATTGCAGGATATGCTTCGAGTTCACCCCTAAATGGTTGTCTTTTCTAGTACATTGATAAAGTTTAATTTTGCTGTTGTTGTAGAATTGTATTATTTTACAATATATAGTAAGTTTGGTTTTAACTAGAACAAGTTGTAGAATTGTTGTTGTTCTTGTACTATAGCTAATTAAGGTCACTTTACAAGTGTAATGTGTGAAAGGTATTGGCTAATAAGCTTGGTTTTCATGATGTAATGTGTGAAATATATTGGTAAGTCAAAAGTCAAAATGTGTCATCTAATTTGAAACAGAAAAAATATTTATCTTAAAGTGTTTTTATTTGATGTACATACTCACTTCTATTTCATTTGGAATTTGGTAAATATATTTTATTTTATTATCCCTCGTATTATCCCATAATACTTGCACCTTTACATTCACCCTTTTATTGTATTTACTTTTTCTTACACGAGTCCTCTTTTACTTAGCTATCTATTCTTCGCTTTGAAATATATATTTCCTCCGTTCTAGTAATATTGCAACAATTGGACTTTTGCACTATTTATCATGTTTCTTTGACCACATATTATGATTTATATATTAAGTAAAATATATTCATGTGAGATCTTGTTAGATTCATCTCGTAAAATACTTACACAATATCAACTTTTTATAAAGTTTACTTTTATAGAATTATACATATTTAACATAAAAAATGTGCTTTGGGATGCGTAATTTCATCCTTGTTGCAATATTAATAGAACGGAGGAAGTAATAGGTTATTTAAAACCTACAGTTAAAAAGAAATGCCCTATCATTTACTTTTTTCTTTTAGATACATCACTTACCTTATTTAATTAGTCTTTTTAAATGAATCACTTTTACATTTATAAGAAAATATAAGTGTATCTCCTTAACAAACAAAAATATGTTTATCAAATGGCAAAAATGTAAATAAATCAACGACTTTTTGTCATAGATGAGTTTCACAGTTTTTTATTTATTTGCCAAAATGCCATATTGACTAGACAAAATGACAAAAACAATATCCTAACAGAAAACAAACTATTTATAGAAGTAGTAAGGCAGCCACTTCCACTGTTACCTTAGTTCCGCTAACCACAATTTCCTAAATTTTAGGAACGTGCAGTAATGGGGAGCTTGGGCACCAAGCAAAAGAACCTTCCCTATTTTTACTCAAAACGTTTAACCACTTCCCCACTTTTCTCAACAGTTTTAACTAGGCAACAAAACACTTTTCTAAGATATTTTTCAAACAGATTTTCTAAAATGATAAATAAATAAAATAACTGGAAATATTTTTCCAAAAGATATTTTTCCAAAAGATATTTACTCAAAATAAATATCTATTAATTTAGGAAAAATAAATCTTATAACATCAATAAAAAAAATCTACTAGACTCCTACTAATGTAATTATGCTAAATATGAATACAAGAAGCCTAAGAATTAAAATCGAAATAATTAAGACTTCTTGAGTTCCTCTCTTGAAACTTCAACTCTGAAGCTTTAGCTCCTCCCTCAAGCAACTAGACCTCTAATTTTCTTCAATGCTTTCCTTAGCCTTCAGAAGCTGTCTTCAGACCTTGTTACATGTTTCATCTTACTCTGGGTCATCATCACACATTACCTATTTCACCAAAACCTGTCATCCACACAACTTAAGAAGAAGTTAAGTCTACATGATTTTGCTTAAGTGCTTAAATCATTATTAAAACTTTAGGGTCAACAAGAACCAACTTGTTGAAATATTCACCAAGATTCTACCCATAGAGGGGCCGCTATTTAAGTCAGTGTAGTTGTGTTTTATCATTCAGGATGAAATCGTCAAAAGTTCTGGGATCATATTCTTTTTGTTTCTCTACTTTATGCTTGAATACAGTGAATGCTTAGAGTAAAAAAATAAATCAGATCTTCTATTATTAAAAAAATCAGTATAGGACAAGTTCTTTGCACCTTATTTTTGCTGAAATTAAATTATTATTATTGTAGTGAACTAAAACTATTTTTACCAATTAAAACTTATTAATATTAATTCTCTATTATATTTGTTATTTTAAGTTACTGATTTTTATATATTATAACTTATTTTTACTAAATTGAATTTTTTTTGCTGAACTGAACTTATTTTTACTAAATTGAATTATTTTTACTAAATATTATTATTTTAAGATGATGAAGAAAACAAGGCCTTAGTTTTTCTTCCTTGGGTGCACTATCTGCACTTTCAATATGTTTTTCTAATTATATATGCTCCCTTTTTTCATATTTATCTTCTCACTTAAAATCTTTTCATGAGACAAAATTTGTCAAAGTGAGAAGATCAATATGAAACAAAGAGAGTACTAAAGATGTTATATCGAGTTGCATTTACTAAAATTTAATTATTTATGTTATACTAAAATTAATTTATTTTTTTTGAATGCAAAATTAAATTTTTTTTACTATTTAAATCCATTTTTATTGATTCGCTATCATGTTTTCATTCTTTTAAGTTATAATAAAAAGTATTCTTACTAAACTAAAGTTATTTTTGATGAACTTAGTTAACAATGATGGTTGCCAAAATTAAATTATCATTGTACACTTGATCAGAGAGATTTATGTAAATATAAATGACATATATAAATAAGTCTTGTACTACGTAAATATCAACGTACTCTACTACCTTTGTTTCTTTACACTTGTCCAATCTACGGCTTTAACTAGCTAACAATATTTTAACTTCGCATTATTAAAAGTTGTTATTATACGTTAACATTTAGAATTATTTGTCAAGATAAATCTAACAAGGTTCTGCAATATAATTTTCACCCATAAAAAAAAAAAAAATTTATATATTTTTCAATGAATAATATGGGTGAATCTACTCATATCATGGTCAATTCTTTTGAATTTGACCAAATAAATAATAATCACGACAAACAAAACGAAATGAAAATAGTATTATTTTGTGACCAATGCTCGAGGGCTCTCCATTTTATAGTTTTTTCCCATTTTTATCTCTTTAACTAATGGGAGTTGCTTCTTAGCCACCTCCTTACGCCCTTCTAATAAGAGTTATTCTAGCATGCACCTACCACTTCAATTTTTTGACGAAATTCGTCCATTTTATATCAATGCCCCTTAATAGAATCTTTAAAATAATGCTTCTTGATAAGATGATCACGTGGTCGATCTAAGGATATGCTTCAATCTTTATACTATAAATAATCTATGGACGATAACATATTTTCTACAACTTCATAATCTCATAGATTTTATTTCATACACCTCTATTAAGCTTGATTATTAGTATTATCTGACGTCTAGATGACCAATTAATATGGCTCTTATGGCACATGACACGACTCCCCTAGTGTTAAATGTAACACGAGGGGAGCCAGAGCTAGTGTGCCCGGCTGAGCCTACACCAAGGGAGCTAAAACTGCTCTCGGATATTGATGACCAAGAGGGTCTTCGATTCCATATGCCGGGCATAATGTTTTATAGGGCTGATCCCTCCATGGAGGGGAATGACCCGGTGAAGGTGGTTAAGGATGCTCTGGCGCGGGCTAAGGCTCTTGTGTTTTTCTACACTTATGCTGGTCGGTTAGTAGAAGGGCCGAATAGGAAGCTAAGTGTCGAGTGCACGGGTGAGGGTGTGCCCTTCATTGAGGCTGAGGCGGATGCAATGCTTGAAGATTTTGGGGATGAAATTCATCCTCCATTTCCTTTAGAGGATTTGCTTTATGACATTCCTGGGAGGAAGTCCAAGCCCATAATTACTATTATCATGAATATCAATAACAAGCGTCTGTTATTACATTTATACCTCATGTTGTTATAGTAATTGTACCAACATGAAATTTAAAAATACCAACATGAAATATTTGGATCAACAATCTTGTTGATATATTTGGATCTCATATTGATATAGTAATTATACCAACATGAAATCTAAAAATACTAATGGACTTTGTTATTGTCATTAAAGACATGAGCTATTATTGATTCAGACAACCTCCATTCCTAGTACTAATGGAATGCTTGGCACTCCGTTGGTGATAGTTCAGGTACATAATATTATTCCATGTTCTATAACGCCGCTACTTAATGAGATTTTGATAAGATGACTAAATGATTGTATTGTAATAATTTCAATGATTGAAATGTAGTATTTCCCATGTCTTTGAAAATTTGCGTCATTTATGTTTTCAATTTAAGAAAAGTTGTATTGAGTTACCAACCTACCTTGTGTCTGGTTGGCATAAATCATTTGCTTGGTAGCACGAAGACAAAGTTTTAAGCGTTGGAAGGAAAAGGAGGGAAACTGACCAAAGAAAAAGTTGTATTGAGTTGATAGATAGATTTGTATTTTAGTATGTGATTGGAAGGAAAATAAAACAAAATCTATTAAGGATGGGTAGTATATAGTTTTGTTGGTAATTTACAACAATTCTTCATCCAAATGACCCAATTTGTAGCATAGCCTTGTTTTCATTGATTTTGTAGCTATTTAAATTAACATCTAATCAAAAAATCACTTGTTTGTCTATGTTATGTGATACATAGGTAACTCGTCTAAGATGCAGAGGATTCATAGTGGCCCTTCCAGTAAACCATGTTATCAACGATGGTAGTGGCATAATGCAACTAATGAACGCAGTAGGCGAGATAGGGAGAGGCTTTGCCACCCCAACCATCCTCCCCGTTTGGGGCCGCGAACGCTTAATTGCTAGAGAATCCCCAAAAGTCACCTTTCCCCACCCTGAGTACGACCAACATGAAGTTATTGACCACCACTCCAATGATCAACCCGAGCTAGTCCAACAGTCCTTCCTCTTTGGACCTACCGAGCTTGCTGCCCTACGCCACCATGTCCCTCCTCAAACCAAACAATTCTCCTCCTTCGACATCATATGTGCCTCCTTGTGGCGTTGTCGAACCATAGCCCTTAAACTTGACCCTGGTCAAGAGGTACGTCTACTCTTTGCTGTGAACGCGAGGAATAAGTTTAATCCTCCACTAGCTAAGGGATACTATGGAAATGCATGTGCATTTCCAGCTGTCTGTGCTAAAGCAGGGGATATATGCAACAACAAAGTTGGCTATATTTTGGATCTAATAAGGAACACTAAAAATGAAGTGAATGAGGTATATATGAGATCTATTATGGACCTTATGGTAACAAAAGATAGGCCAGAATTTACCGTGCATCAGTCTTACGTGGTGTCAGACCTTAGGCATTTAGGGTTTGCAGACGTTGATTTCGGGTGGGGGAAGCCGGTTTTCGGAGGGCCGGTGAGTAATGGTTCGGTCCCGGATGCAAGCTTCTTTATATCCTTTAAGAACAAGAAAGGCGAGACTATGATTATGGTGCCCATTTCCTTGCCTCCGTCTGAAATGGACGTTTTTGTTAAGGAATTGCAAGAGATGCTCCAAGTTCATCCATAAATAATTGGCTTTTCTAGTTTTTTTTTTTATTTTTTTTTATTAATTTTTTTTTTTTATTGCCTTATTGGTACTAAACAATGCCTAGGAGGCTAGGACCATGATATGGATTCTATATCAAGCTTTGGTAATAATTCTAGTAAGTTGAGGACTTGAGATTTTGGTGCAACAACCAATTTTAGTATAATAGTACCATGTGATTATAGAAACCATTCATATGAAAGTATAAACTATATCAAATATACTAGTATCATATTTTGAAAATTTCTTTGTTTGTTCACTTTTGTATTAATATCAATTTACTATTGTAAGGTTGGTTGTAAACTTGTAACTATTGTATGTACTATGTAATCTATTAAATAAACTCATAATGTATTATGGGTCACATTATCATTATTGTACTGTATTTTTGTTAAATTACCTACATTCATTACAAAAATAAGATATATGTGCACCAAAAAAAAAAAAAAAGATATTTTATATTCTCCAAATTAAAGTTGGACAGCATGCACATTGATCGTAAAAACTATGTTGATTTCATGAAACTAGAATTAGATATTTCTCTGATTCAATATAAGGGCAAGATCTTGAATTTTTAAAACAAAAAAGGAACAACTCTTATGTATAATTTCGAAAGAATTGTTCTCACATCAGTAGTAGCAATAGCAGTAGTAATTAGAGATGGCAAAAGCCGACACAATACGGTAAAACGACACGAAACAATTAGGTTAGTGTTTAGGGTTTGCAACACATGTAATTAAACGGGTCAACACGACACGATACATTTAATTAAATAGGTCAGGTTAGTGTTGAGAATTCCAACACGAAACAAACGCGAATCAACCCGCTTAAGAAAATTATTTAATAATTTATGGAACTTATGATATATATTTTGAGTAGGGCTAACATTCTTACTAATTATCGCAAGAAAACACGACATGAAATAAACACAAAAAAGCGGGTTACTGTTAAAAGCTTTCGACACATTTAGTTTACGGGTCAACACGACATGAATGTTTATTAGTGTGGAGATCTTCAAACCCGTTTAACTTCAAACATGAACACGAGAACGAATGACACAAAACAACACGTTTGCCAGCTCGATCTAGTAGATGTATTAGCATTAGCAACATCAACAACAGCAGAAGTAGCAGTAGCAAAAGTAACGGTATGGTAGTAGGAGGAGGAAGAGGAAAAGGAGGGAGTAGGAGGAGTGGTAGGTGTAGTAGTAGGAGGAGGAAAAGGAGGGAGTAGGAGGAGTGGTAGGCGTAGTAGTAGTAGGAGGAGGAGGAGGAGGAAGAGGATTAGTAAGAGTAGCAGTACTAGTCATGTCTAAGGAGCTCTTTTGGCTTAGCCTAATGGTTTAAATTTAGTTGATGTCTCAAGAGGTTTTAGGCATGGCCTTTTGGTATATACATTGATATAAACTACTAGAGCTACACTGCGTTATAGCCATTACAAATCATCCAGATAATTCGAAAGAAAAAGTGAATGGCTTGCGTAATTTTAGATTCCCATGTTTAAACTTAGGCTATATTTGCAACACTAATTATAATGGAGCTAAAATTGGTAAGTTGTTGAAATTGATAAGGTAGTTGATTGAATGAATTATTTGGCAGTATCAAGGGGCTGAAATAATAATGTACATTTAATTTTAAAATGTTAATAGTAAAGGAAGATAAAGATAGATCAAATAGAAAATTTATGGTTCTTAAATTGAGATGAAAAGCGAGAGTGAGGGATAGCTCAAGTGGTTAGAGCTCCCCCTCCGGTTCCAAGAGATCCTGAGTTTGATTCTTGTCAATCACCCTAGAGACTCTTAAAACACCAAAAAAAAAAAATTAAGATCAAATAAAGCAAGATACAAAGACTTGCTTGGCCATATTATGAGCACCAGCACCAGCCACGATATTTCTTGCTTGGTGCCTAGTACTTGATTCTTATATCACATATGTTGAAATAATGTCTTAGTTTCAATTCATAGACCTCGTCAAACTAGTAGACGTGAACAACCAAAAACCTAACTAGTTTGCAAGTTGCAAGTGTTTAATAATATCTAAGGAAGAACTCTATATCATGAATGTCAACTAATTAAAAACAATACAAGTAGTCATTATTGGTCAACTTACTGACCATGGGTGGCGTCAACCGTCAACGGCAAGAGGAATATAGATTAGGCAACAACTTCTAGTTCTAGCTTGTAAAAAAAGAAGAAAAAAAAAAAACCCAACTTCTTGACTTTTCACCATGGACAAACAATAATTGTGACTATATTCTCTTAGTAATTAATTTGGATGCTTGGCATAAACTTATACTTCCTCCGTTCTTTTTTACTTGACCCGCTTTGACTTTTACACTATTCACCACCATTCTTTTGACCATCTTTTGTGAATAATATATAAGAAAAAACATCTTCGTGTGGGATCTTGTTAAATTCGTCTCAGTAAATACTTCATAATATATAACTTTTATAATTTTTACTTATAGAGAATTAAAGTTATTGATCGTTAAAATTCTGCATTGGCAAGCGTGATAAAAGAAACGGGTGAACTAAAAAAAAGAACAGAGGAAGTAAAAAATATTGAAAAATACGCTTTGATCATCCCAACTATGAGCGATTTACTTCTAATAGTCACAACTAAGGTTTATTTTTATTTTTAATAATCTCAACTTCAACTATTGCCTCCAATGGTCCCAATGACCGGTAACCTGCTGAAAGAGATTTTTTTTTTGGCATTAATAGCCATGTGTCAACACATGATTGGTCCAAAATTTTAAAAAAAAATAATAAAAACAAAAAAAAAACAAAATTCCCCGCCACCTTCCCTCACTGCCAAACCCTAACCCCTCCCCTAAACTCTCCGGAAACCGGTCAGCCACCCACTTTAACCACCAAAACCGGTCGGCCGGTCTTCTACCGCCCCATTTGACCTACCCTGACCCTCTCCCTTTCCCCAAACCCCAGTCGCGTCCACCTTCTTTCTCGAAACCCTAACCACCCGACAACCCTCCTCCTTCCTTCCCCCACCTAAAACAACCACCAACTCCCTTTCCCACACCCCGAAATGGCGAGGGGTGGTCGTTCGAGGTGGGGGAAAGGGAGTGGTGACTCGACTGTTTCGTGGTGGTTTAAAGGAGGAATAAGGTTGGTCGATTTTTTGGGCTAGGTTGCGTGGTTGTGTTCGTGGTGAGGTAAAGGAGGAAGGAGGGCGAGGGGGAAAGGGAGGGGGCTCGCCGGCGGTAGGAGTTGTCTGGGCGCCGGCCGAGGGTGGGCAGCCAATTGTTGGCACCGACGAATTGGGGTAATGGGTTGGGTTGTGGTGGTGGGAGGGGTGATTGGGTTTAATTCTTAATTAATATCTAATTTTTATTTGAATAATAATTATTTTCTAATTAATTCTTAATTAAGTTTTAATTTTTTTTTTCTATTTTTTTTTTAATTTTTTAAAAAGTGTTAGACCAATTAGAACAAGACACGTGTCAAATTTTTTATTTTTTTTTTAAATTTGGACCAATCACATGTTGGCACGTGTCATGATAACATGTTATAACAAGTCGTTGACTTGGTGTTGACCGGTTGGGACCATTGGAGGCAAACGCATAGCATAGTTGGGATTATTAAAAAATAATCCTTAGTTGGGATTATTACAAGTAAATTGCCCATTGTTGGGATTATCCTAAAAATATTGCCAAACAATGATATTTTTTTTTAGAAAAATTGGTAAAAATAATCTCAACCTTCACGTATTCGCTTTAAATAACCCTAACTTTAGATAATTTAGTAATCCGAACTTTGAGGTGTATTCGCTTTTATTGATCCCAAGTGACTGCTAACCTGTTAAATAAGAAAAAAAAATTATTTTATTTAGTACACATTTGTGAGTACATGATTGGTTATAAAAAGTGAAATTATAAAAAATAAAAAAAGAAAAAATTTTAAAAACAATAAAAAACAAAAAACAAAAACAAAAAAAAAAAAAAAAAAAAAAAAAAAAAAAAAAAAAACCAGCTCCACCTCCTTCCCTCATCCAAGTTAACCATGGTAGCCACCTTCACTACCACCCTCACCGTAGTTTAGAAACTTTTATGCCTAAATTATCATCATAGGTTCATATGTTCACATGTTGCTATATTATAGGTTACAGGTTACCACGAAGCTAGCAGTCCAATTTCAAGTAGTCAAAGGAAGTTGAGTAAGGACTTTTCCAAGAAATATTCCAAAGGGATTTAAGTTGAAAGAGTCAAGAGGAAGTCCCTTAAGAATCGGAACCGTAAGCCTCCACTTGCTGTTGATAAGGAATGAGTCAAACTGCAATGGATAAGTGCAAAGAGAATATGGCATGAAAATCGAAGTTGAACCTGGCAACTAACTCCGGATTCCATGGAATCAAGGGAGGAGCCGTTGAGGCATTTCAAAAACACTTCTTTATTATAAATAGGAGGATAATCATTGTACAAGGGCATCACAAAAAGTCCAAGCCTTATTATTCATAGCAATTAACAATTGTTAGCATCGTTACAAATCTATTTTGAACCTATAGTGTATTTATATTAAACTACCTACTTAGTGGATTGGTGGACTCATAGCCACCCGCAGTTTTTACCCTTATTCCTGGGGTTTTCTGCGTCATCATCTTGTGTCTCTTCTTCCCTTTCCCCTTTGTTCATTTCTCGCATATCATTCATCTTCATTCCTTGAACCTTCATAATAATTTGCATCCTCATTAACCTAGTTGTTGCCAAATTGAGCCTAGTCTAATCTGGCAGTCAGATTTTGATCTAAACAGTTTGGCGCCGTTTGTGGGGACACAGTTTGATCACCATATCCGTTTCATTTCATTTACCATTTATCATGGTTGAGACTCATGATCAGAATCCTACCATGGCCGAAATCCTTGAGCAGTTGCAGGAAGCCAAAGAAGAACTGAAAGCTGCCCGAGAGCATAGCTAGAAGCTCCAAAATGAATCTCAATCTCGTCAAGAGACCTTGGACAAGCTGAACAAGGAGCTTGAATATGTCAAGAGCAATAAGAAGAGAAAGGTTAGAATTGATATATCCCTCAATTCTCCCTGATCTCATCCGATGAATCTGATGGAGAGGAGAACAATGTAAAGAAGCCTGAACAAGAGTTGGGTGGAGACACTGGCCCTATGGCCAAGAAAGTAGTTTTCATCGAGGTCGAGGACCGGAAAAGGATGAAGCTCTTGACCCGGCTACCAGGTGCGCTAAAAATTGTGGCCTATGAATCCCATGATGGATTCGTTGAATCCCCCTTCGTGGAAGAAATTGCTAAAGTCAGAATTCTTACGAAGCTCAATATTCCAGCCTTCTCTAAATTGTACGATGGGACCACTGACCCTCAAGATTACGTGGCCTAGTACAAGCAGAAGATGTGGCAGCTATCAATTCCGTGGGAGCTTATTGAACTCACTATGTGCAAGTCCTTTGGTGCTACGCGCCAGGATCTATCAACAACTTCTCTAGCTTGGTGAATAAGTTCTATCATTAGTTCGCAACAAGTAGAGAGTTGGAGAAGCAGAGCAGTGACCTGTACCGAGTCGTCTA